AAAATAAATTGAAAGAAAGAGTATTTTTTATTTTCAAATTCAATTTAACAATCTCTAATTGATAAAAGATTTACAGACAATCCTAATTTCTTATATTAGCGAAGATAATTTAAAATATAAAATGTCTCATTCCAGACATCAGTAGAATCACAATACTTATACATTGTATGTACTGTAAACTTTACATCCATTAAATATTGCTTTTATGGTATAAATTTGGCATGAGAGAATAATTATTATATAAAGCACTCAATATTCAGACTTGGTTCCAGATATGCACAGTTAGATTATCAATATCATATGAAAAACACACATGTGTAAGTGGCTTCAATGCATCTATGTAGACGTACTCAAATAGTAGAAATTAATATACAAGTGATTTATTGAATGCCAATTAATCTACACATGCGTATTATACAAAGACAACAATGCCATACAAGTGATTCATATACTGCAGATAGAGGTATTATTAATATGACAAAACCCTATATTCCTTGTCCTGAAGTTTGTGGGGTATGGAAGTCATTTTCACAAGAGATATGCTGTATTCTGTGGCTGTTTGCATCACAAATGTTAAGACCATGGCATTCTGTTATTATTACACATGTTCTCAAACTTAATGAAAACTTTGGCACCTACAATCTTAGTATAAGTGCATGCATGTAAGTAATGGTGTTAAATTTGGATAATTGCTTCACATATATAGATTTGCCTGTTTATCTCTGTTGTAGCATAGCCACCAGTATATAGCGCCACCCAGTGGCAGCAGATTCTCAGTCTGATTCAGTATTTTTGTTTTCCCGGCTGTCTTATATTTTTCAACCCTCCCACCACTTCCCTTGTAATTTTATTTTTCCACACCCCTTTTCTGAATTGTACACTTTAAACAGATTTGTGAATTTAGTCAGTTTCAGTAATTACTTACTTTCCTGTTGTAGTCTAGGGTACTTTGAGGCCTATGTTCAGGCCTAGTTTTGTATTAAAATACCTCCTTTCTGCTAAACAATTTGTGTGTGTGTGTGATTCAGTTATCCATTTTTTCTAGCATATTGTAGCAATTTGAACTAATTTAGAATCTGTTCAATGATTGGTTAATCCGATGTTCTATTGAATTTATACGTAAATATGTTCAGACGTGAAATCACTTAGCAATGAAAATACCGATAAATGCAGCAAAATTGTAAAGCTGAGATTGTGTGAGATATGGTGACCCTATTTAATATTTTATTTTAGTATTTGCATATCAGTAATAAAATAAGGTAATAAATAACTGTGGAAATATATTTTTAAAGATGCAATAATTTAATTGTGATAATAAACATTATTTGAATTTCATTAGATTCTTTTGATCAACAAAATGCACTCAATAATTGTTTACACTAGTTAACAATTTGAAATCCAAATATTAAGTTAAAGAATTCAAAACCTATGTAGTACACTCAAATGAAAGTGAAGTATAAAATATCCCAAATGGATAAATGCAATATAAATATTCTCAAAATAAGAAATTAGGTAAAGTTGTTTGGTTAAGGGGTCATAAGCCACATTTTATCATCCATATAACCATGGGAAGGTACTAATAATCTATTACTTCCTTCCATGATATAACTGAGCATTTGTGAAACCAAACAAACACGCATTTCCAGATATTTGCATGCTAAATACATGTCACAACGTGTCACAGCAGTTCAGAAGTATATGTACTAATAAAATATGAAAACATGACAGCTGATCCCCAATATTATCATACAATATTATTCTTAAGAAAATATAAGACCCCCTTCCCCCCTCCAAATAACAATAACCTATATGTAGATGTACAATGTACTTAATAGATTTAAAAAAAACAATTTTCATTGCAGGTAATTATTATGATTTCAGGATTGAATGGCATTGTTGAAAACAAAATTTCGTGGGTCACTGAAATTGTGTTTTCAATGAAATATTCACAGCTATAAATTTTTTTGATTTTTACTGACTCACAAGCTGATTGCAGAATCTAACTTAAAAACGAGAAAACAAAATTGGCAAAGGAGAGAAAACAGCACCATGAATGAAGACATGATGTCTCCTAGTGAAATAATAAAAACATATGTCAATTGGTTATACTGTGAAATACTTTATTTTCGCTGGAATTAATTTTCACTGAAAAGGCTTTTTGGGCGTTTTGTGTGGAATTTATTTTCACTGATTTTTGATGAGTTGAATGTGAAATATAGGAAAAAAAGTATATTCGCTGGATTTTATTTTTACGGAATCATCCCTTCAGTGAAAATAGCGAAAATAAATTCCAAGCGAAAATAAAGTATTCTACAGTAGTCACTAAAGAAATATAAGGCTACCAATTTCTAATCAGACATTGTAAAATGAATGCTCTCAACTTATGTAATTGTAAATTAAGTTCTGAGTTGTTTTTTTGTTAAATGATTCCAATTATAAAGCAGTGCAATAATAATATTGCTTATAAATGTAATTCTGAAACAGATCAATTGTGTTGCTGAATCCTAGTTGTTCAGTTTTGTGAGAGGAAACACAGATGGTGGTGGCAGTGACAGATAAGTAGTATCATACAGTACATGTAAATCAACTTTTTAACAATACCATTAAAATGATGAACTAAAAATGTATTTTTGGTGATCAACATCAAACTATAATTACATCAAATGTTTTCATTTATTTGCATTTATCACTAGAATTCACTTTTCTCACTCAAAGTAACCTGAATAGCTTAGGTCATTCAGTCAAAATCTTACTTTTCAAACAACTCCGCAAATAAATGTGGGTACTTATAAAATAAATAAAAAAAAACCCATTTGTTGGCATTAACCATTACAAACAAATAATAATTATTAAATGGAAAAAAAATACACAATAGAAATTTTTCACTGTAAGCAGAGAAATTACCTAAATTAAGTATACTCAACTCCTGTGGCTACTACAAATATTTTATTTCATTAAATAAATAATTATTATCGAATATATAATTATTAATATCAAGATCTCACAGGCAATCCAATTTAAAGATATCGCAACGTTGACATTTTAAACATGCATGTACATTGTGTATATAACCCCCCCCTAATTCCAGGTTCCCGAATTGATAGCGTTTGAACATTCGTTTATGCACATGCACATATTGCATGACCTGGGGTCAACAAACCGTAAGGTAGGACAGATTTTGAATGTTCCAAACTCGCAGAATCGCAGTGCACCGAACATCAATGTTTCCAACTCACAATGTAAAAATTCCCCAAAAATAAAATTGCCATCTTTCAACTATTACACAATCCAGCCTCTGAAAATTTACACACTATTCTGCTCAAGCAAGAATAACAAGCATGCAAATTATCTTTGGCTTTTGCGTAATATTTTCATATATTTTGCGGAAAACTGTCATGGTCATATTTACTCAGTGAAACACGCACATACTCTATCTATTTCAGTGAATTTTCTGTGAAAAATCATTTTTTTAATTTAAATAGCTGCCCTCGTTTGTACACACCCGCACTCACTCTGCTATCTTTAAAAAAAATGTTTCAAATATTACGCTGACTTCTTCCAGATTGCATGTCTACAAGTGTCTTTTGACTTTTTATATTTTGGTTCTAACCTCCCCCGTTAGGCATTTGCAAACAGAATTACATCGCGTTGGACCGTAATTCGGGAACCGGGAATTAGGATCAGGTTGTGCTATTGCACAATATGTATTTATATTTCATGTTAATAAACTATGTACATAACACATAGGACCCACACCATACGAGAGAATACATAATAATTACCAGTAATACACTTGTGATTGACCTTTCACTTGTGATTGACCTTTCACTTGTAATTGACCTTTCACTTGTAATTGACCTTTCACATGTGATTGACCTTTCACTTGTGATTAGACCTTTCACTTGTGATTGACCTTTCACATGTGATTAGACCTTTCACATGCGATTAGACCTTTCACTTGTGATTGACCTTTCACATGTGATTAGGCCTTTCACTTGTGATTGACCTTTCACATGTGATTAGACCTTTCACTTGTGATTGACCTTTCACATGTGATTAGACCTTTCATCTATCAATAAGGTATCAATAAGAGTATTAGTGCTTTGGTAACAGTATTTAGTACTAAAATAACACGCTTTATAAACAAAGTACATGTCAATTAATGATCACTAGACTATCTATTTTTAAATATAATTACCCAGTGATTTCAACCGTTTCATTTTTAGTGTTTTATTGTACATTTAATTATTCGTGGTAGCTGCATGTATGAGTTAGTGATAGTTATCACACTATGACCTTACTATGACAACATTTTACACAGTGAATTTGCATTTGTTTATACCTACACATAAATCAGCTTATATTAATTTTCAATAATACTTTACTGTGTCTGATGACAGCCATTTTGAATAATTTGTTTTATAATAGGATTATTATTTTAGTTTATTTGTTTGCATAAATAATTAAAAGTGTAGATAAAAAGGATGTAATTAATATGTTGTGGCACTGAGAGCAAAAACATTTGCTGTGGCACAACTAGTTATTCTAATTCACTTGCGTAATTGACGCAACCGAAAATCATACATTGATATACATGTAGTGATCTTAAAAAACATCTTACTTAGTAATCGTATTTGTATTTTGGTAAAATGAAATTGACATTTTATAATAAGTAGAAAAATAAAGAACCACAACAATCGCACACATTCTAGATAAATATATTAAAATGTGTAAAAAGTTACAATAACTTTTTGGCAGTAAAATCCATGATAATTGAAGCAATCAGGAAACAGATTTTGAAATATTCAACAATGTCATAATATTCCAGAGACATGTGAATAAGGTCAAACAAATAATTTGTTTCTCATCAGCATGTGTGTTAGTTTAAAATGGATAAGTCCTGCCAAAACATTGTGAAAAAAAAGGGCAAACAAAATCTCAGGACCGAAAACAATTGAAAAACCCAGTGAAAAAATGAATGCATTTACAGTAGTTTTGTATTAACACGAAATGCTCTTCTTTGCTGCCATGTCACGCCATATTCTGTACATCTCGTTAGGCGTGACCATATGTGATGTTATTATCTTACGATAGCGACAAAGTGAGTAAACTTTTTTCCAGTTGTGAAACTCAGGATGTTTTCTTGGCACAATGCCAAGTTTATTCCAGCAGACAGCAACAAACACATCTTCAAGATATAGAAATGGCGTCTCTAATGCAACTTTATAAGTATTACACATAACATCCATTGACATGACATAGCCAGTACCCGAAAGAAACGGTGGATATTTACTATCAGGATAGACATCGCGAGACATGTACCATTTACTTTTAACGTCCCTGATGGGAGAACCATTTATAAGAAATCCCACTGCAAATTCTTTGTCAAGTGAGTCAATTAAAAGCTTGACAAGTGTTTCATAATTGACAAACATATCATCATCTGTTTTCATGCCATATCTCGCGTGAGAGCAATAATTATTCGCCCATTTGAAACCCATTATGCTTTTCAATGTTAAGTTCATGTAAGTATCGTCAAAATCTTCCATCAAAAGATCCCCAAATCTCTCATTCTCTTGGAGAACCAAGGCCTGGAGTTTGTCATCATGTACTTTTGCTAGAAGAAACATTGTTATAATTCGCTGACCATTCACCATAGTAGGGTTTCCCCAAGTGTCTCGGATTGCTTGTCTTTGCTCAAAATTCCTATGTATTGAGTTGATGAGTACCAAGAGAAACACTTCAGCAGGTGTGCCATCTGGATTCATACACTTATCTGGATGGTTGATCACAAGTTTAAAATCATGTGCCAATATTGGTCTTTTTTTTAAATCAATGGGGAACTGGTTAACTGACGGTTGACTTTCTTTTTTATCATTGCCGCTTTCACTTGACTGCTTGGATTCATGGAACACAGTGCCGTTGTCTAAAGTGTTACTTAACATTGTGTCAAGCAAATTCTGATTACTTCGCAACACATCATTTGGTGTTTCATGTCTCAAGTTCAATAAAGTTGGATGGGTGAAGTACAAAAATACGATAATATTTGCCAACGCTAGCACAAATAGCAGCAGAAAATTTGACAAAAATCTTCCTTGAGCAACCATTTTACGAGTTGTGTTTGTGAACTCTGTATCACTTCACCATGACTTATTATGCAAGCAACCTGAAAATAAAAAAGTAACATTTAAACAATAATGAACGATACGCCAACCCATAATGGGCGAAAGCTCACTTTGTGCGACATATATGTACGAGGCATGAGCTGAGTACATATATGGAGCACAAAGTGTGCTTGAGTCCATTATGGGTTGCCGGGGAGAATATTATTGTTATTATTTTGTAGCGTTGTCAATACCAGTGAATTTGCTGCCACTAAAAGCGGAAAATTTGAAGAAAAATCTACAGTGAACGAAACAGTTCACTGGCCTGTGAATCTGAATAATATGAAATGTCTTTCTGGATTTGTTTTCAATAATCTTAGATGACAATTAACTAAGAAACTAAGAAAGAAACTAGTTTTAATCCATCAAATACCATTGTATTTAATTTATTTACATTGCGAAGTGAACGAGTGACTGATGCGTGGTGTGGAATAACATCGTAGTGATCACTCGAGCGAACGACACATCGTGACTGGTACGCTGTATCGGTGTCTGCCGCGGTCTTGTATTCTTGGCTTGCACAACGCTACGTTAGATCGCCGTCGTGGTCCAGTTGGATCGACTGTGATTTTAATCTCACTGTATAAATAAACAGATACACACCTGAGAACTCATCATAATGTATATTATTATACAGCGTGCCGTGATGTTACGGGGTATTTTCATCCTACCATATAAGGAAATGTGAATTCCAAATATGGAATGATTACATGTGTAAGCGTCCTCTAATAATTAAAAAAAAACATGGCTGCTAATAGGGTTTGACCGGACTCCAGACAATATTTGATATGTGTTTGTTCTTGGATATTTCAGTTCTGTTATTCTGTACTTCAATTAGTAATTCAGACTTCCCAGATTGCATAAAAGGTAGTTTGTGATTTTGACATGGAAAATGCCTGGGCTAAATCATTTGCTGAGGGATGGTCACTTAGGAATGTGCACTCTGACTTACAGCACAAAGACCTAAATGCACTGAGAATTCAAAATAACTACTTTGCGCACAAGTATGCTCAGGGTCTTCAATTTCTGATAACATAAGGCTTATTGTAATCAGAGAAACAAAACAAAACAAAATGAAACGGAACGGAACAACACAAAGCGAAACGAAACGGGATGACACACAAAATAAAAAGTAAACTGTAATCAGAGAAAATGGGTTTTATAAGCACAATATTTACAAAATATTTGCCAAAAACAACAATATTTTAATTAGTAAATGGCTCGTTTCGCTAATTACAAATAATCAGAAATCTGTAATCAGCGAAACAAGTGTCCTACACATATATTACAGCCAAAACAAAGTCAGCTTGGACTTTCAGTTGTGAGACATGACAAAACAAAACGCTGCCATTGATAGCGCATCGGAAATAAATGGAACACGTTATGACATAGTCTCACCACAAGGAGCCCAGGAACAATAATCAACTGTACGCAGTCCATATGGGGGGGGGGGGCTGGTATCTAGTGTAACGGTTGAAGGCTCCAGCGAGCTCATATTTTTTAAACTGGAAAAAACAGACGAATAGAATGAAAAATAAAATCTAAAAAAAATACCAAATTTCGCCAAAGTCTTACCTATATTTTATCGATATCTGCAGAATAAATCAAGAAAACTACACAAATTGACTCCATTAACGTAACCTATAATATAGGTATGGTTTTGGCAAAATTTGAAAGAGCTACTAATATTCTTTTTTCCAGTTCAAAAAATATGAGCTCGCTGGAGCCTTCATCCCTCGTCTATTTCTTCCTTTCTCTATTTCAAAAATATATCTGGAGGCAGCGCTGATAAAAGTCTAAAAAAAACAGCTGTTTCACAGATATCTAAATAAGGAATCCTTACATTTACTTTATTAATTTTCATGTCTAACCCACTTTCGGGCAAGTTTGTTGTTTCTGTTTTCTTGTTTGTTTTAGTTTTGTTTAGTTTTCGTTTTTTTATACTTACAGTATTTCTCTGCATAAAAACAAAATAATTTCACTATGTCGAAAACGGAAAGTCTTTATCGTAGTGTTGTTGGTAATATAGTTGAAAATGATGCATCATATCCACTTGAATCTGCTCATATTTTCAACAGCTGTATATATCTAACTTTGCAATCGCTGAGTTTCCTTGATGGACCACAAGCTCTGTTCCTTGTTTCACGTCATCATGTTCACAAAATCGCAGACAATTATTTGTAAGGGTGCCCTTTGAAATGACAAATTTTCTTGATCTTTTAGCGAGTACTCCGCGGGGTATATAGCGTGTTCTCACATTGGCATAATTTTCCTCGAGTTTATTCATCGCTTTCCCACATGCACATTCTCGTCCTTTGCTGCTAACTTTTATTGCACTCTTGTTTGTAATATTCATATGTTATTTTTGTTTTTTTTGTCTTTCTAAACATAGAGTTTATTTTGATTGACATTCAACGAGATCGTTTGAATTTTAAATTTGATGGCTGGTTCGAATTTATCCACTTTTACAGTAATCAATGTTGCGTTCGAGTTGAGTTACTAGTAATTACAAGCCTGATTTACACTTTTCTTGCTGTGTTTTTTCTTAGTCAAATGGTATTAAATATAAGTGCGTTGGGAAATAGAATAATTATATTGCGTGAGTGAAAGAGGCTAGTGAGACTGTGTTGCAGCATGTTCTATTTATTTCGCGCATGGTCGGCGCCTTTGATTGCATTTTTTTTTTTTTTTATTTATTTACAAAACCTATCACTGGCAGCGTTTGTTTTGTCATGTCTCACAACTGAAAGTTCAGGCATAGCGAAACAAGCCATTTACTAATTGAAATATTCTAATTTCGGCAAATATTTTGTAAATATTGTGCGTATAAAACCCATTTTCTCTAATTACAGTTTATTGTTTATTTTGTTTGTCATTCCATTTTGTTTTGTTTCGTTTCTTCGATTGCAATAAGCCATAACATAAACATGGTTTTCACCCTTGATTATTATGACACCCTCAAAAGCGAGTGATTCAAGTTTCCCTCAAGGGTAAACAATGATGAATTCATGTTTTGTACGATGATTTGAAACAGTTTTGTGTGCTTTAAGAGATCATTTGCCTTAAATAACGTTTTGTTCATCACTGCCAACCCTGGAACTTACCGTCCCTGGATCTTACTGTTTAAATGTTCCTTGGTCGAAGTATGAAACAAGGTGATAATATCAGAGCAGAAATTTCTGCCAGAGCAACTGCACACATCATAAGGACAAATTAATAAGCTCCTAAGTATGGTATTCCCTGATTAACACCAGTTAATTGTTAATGATCGACGCATAAAACATTAATTTTCCATGAAAGGACCATGTGCAGTTACCGTAGCCCAGAGTCTGGCCGTTGGTTTTCAGTGATTACTGGCAGCTATGCAAAGTATTACTGTGACAAAGTCCTACTTACTGTGAAAGCTACAAGAATAGAAGGTACTAACGGTTAGCACCTTCCATGCTACAAGTAACAAATCAAAAGTTCTTGGCGCGCGCGGGGCGGTGGGCGGGGAATGTGTCCCACCCTGTTTTGTCTGGGGGGGGGGGGTGTCTTTTTATACCCCCGCCCTCCTCGGCCAAAGAAAATGACCAGTGTCATAATCGTGACATGGCATGGACCTGGTATTAAAGCTATGACCGGCAACAAATCGAACACACCCGGAAACACATTACACTGTATATGTAATCAAGGTCTGTAGCATTATTTGAGTAATTTTCATGTTTTTGAAATCATGACCCTTAAGTTATCTGAATACGATACAACACTGCAATAAAATAGTGATAAACACTTACCTGAGCGCAGTATAGATCACACAGAACATAAAGTACGACGTATCATCATGCAATGGTCGCCATGTTCAACTAATCCATGGATAGTAAAACGCGGAAGTACAGCGCCACCATAGACAGGTATCACCGTTTAGAGTTTGTCCATAATATCGTACGCAAATTCCTGGCAACTATGGTCTAAACTGAGGATAAGTGCCCATTGTTTGAATACTTAAACTTATCCGGTAATCTGAAAGCACTTCTCAATAACAAAAATTCTGAAACTGTCCAAGCAATTGCCAAGTTTATCAGCGACTGTTTCACTAAAAAATATTTATATAATATGCAAAAGACGTGTTTGCTCTTCAAACTTCATAGTATTCGGAACATGTCAGAGAAATACAGATCAACCCGAGGTTCAAAGTCGCCACTTATCCCCCGGGGAACCTGGGGTCAAACAACGGTCAAGGATCGTTAATTTTTAGAGGAAACACTTTTTTACTGCTTAAAATGGTGAGTTTTTAATATTTGGGCATATTAAAACAAAAAACAAACTTCATATTTATATTTTTCGGTCGGTCGCTGAGGGCAACAAAACAATTTTTTTGGCAAACACAGAGTACTTGTCAGGTAAAGCGTGAACATTTTGCTCATAAAATAAGAATCGCTGACGTAAATGAAAAGCAATATTTTCTTTTCAAATTTACATTCCCTGGCGGATCCAGAAATTCGGTAAGGGGCGCGCTTCTATTGACGTGGGCTGGGTTGGTCAATTGATTTGTGCGCGCCTATCCTTAAATCCGCCCGTGATATTTTTTACAAAATTTTGAAACGCTGAAACGATACGACCACAAAATACGCATAGAAACTACTTATGCAAAATAGTCTTTTACGGTTTCCATTTGAGGGGCCGGGGAGGGGTACCTGATACAGGCTATATGAAATAAAAAAGGCATTTTACGTTTTTACAAGAAAAAAATAGGCCAATGGCCTGTTGCTCAACGGCTATTGTACAAACGATTAGTGCTGTATATGACAAATGCCCCAAAAGGCAGTACGTAAGACAATAAAACATAATGCTAAAAGTGGAATTTTTTACAAAAATAACAGAAATATTCAATAAAATTAGAATCAAAGAGAGCTTAAAAAGAACACCAGCGTGTTGAGAGAATAACATAACATAACATTTGC